GACAGGAAAACTCCGTTATAAATTCATAACTTCTTCATCCGACGTCCGTTTTCGTCTGTCTTTTTACCGTTGCACTACCATTGACGAGATCTTCGATTCTCGTTTAGATTGTTTCGGCTAAAAAGCGCTCGATCTCAAATCAAGTATTCGGGCTGCACACTGCTAAGTCGAAACTTCGGAAAATCATAACTTCCTCATACGAAGTCAGATTTGGGCGTTCTTTTCATGCACGCTCTCGGTTTAACGTATTCTACGACTTTCGTTTAGATAGCTAAATCCAAATATCGCTCTATCGTAAATTCATATTTTACATCACTCAGTGTCGTCCCGGTTCTGTCGCGAAACTTCGACAGGTCATAACTTCTTCGTTATAACTCGGATTTCAACGTTCTTTATATGTACGGAATCCTTGTAACATATACTACAACTTAGTTAAGATTATTCATTCTAAATAATCTTCTATCCAAAAGTCATTTTTGACGCTTAACGTCTCTAAATTGACTAGCCCGGATCTACGGGCGTTACAGTTATCTCCCCCTTAGGATGATTACGTCCCGGAATCATCAACGAAATAAGGCTTGTATAATGATTCCATACGTTATTTCTTCATCCTAGGTAATAATCGTAGCTCCTATGTTTCCTCGAAAGAGCATCTAACTCTAGGGCTTCTTGACTGCAGACGATGCTCAATCTTGCATCTGCTTTTCGTACTATGTTGGACTTTCAACCATAACCTTCAGGTTACAAAATAAGTCCTTATTGTGGGCTCCTTCTTCTTCTTAGGATAAGTGCTTCCCCTTATCTATTGTAATAGATCGATGGGTCATGTTCTATTGACCTCTCATCGTATGATGCAATGCTTTGACTCAAGTCTCTTAGAGTCAAATTCCAAAATGGAATATACCTTCCTTCATATTCTAATGTGATATGATCACATTTTAGCATGTAGCATTTCAATCTTCTGACTTAAGTCAAATGCTACATCAAACTTGGTCCTCTGAACCATGTAACAAACTCATCGTAGTCGGACTCAATTTGATATGACCACTAGGGTCGGAATAACAACCATCTTACTAGTCATTATCGAAACAAGGGTAATGACATACTTGAATAAAACGGAATCGATTACTAGTTTCTTGGTAACCTTGTGACTTTCCCTGATCCAAGTGTGAGTCCTGTGCTTCTAGTAGTATAGATCTCTACTACTATTCACACATACTCATACTCGTCCCAAGTATTGTCTCGCAGTCCCCAAGTCCTAAAATCACAAAACAATTTAACACATACGAATGTGTTCAATTAATCATAAAAATTTTCCTAGACTCTACTAGGACTTCTTCTATGCGTATCTTCAATGATCAATTCTACTTCGACTCGGTTGGTGATGGAAATTCCAGACGATGGGACAACTTCAAGAATTACACCAATCGTTCCACCATCCTGCCAACCGGAGGTGTACCTCAGACGTACCGTACTCCCCTAAACGTTCCGTTATTTTATCAGACATATTCTAAAGGCAAGATACCACTATTAAGATATCTTCCGATAGGTGTCATTCACTATCATAAGCCTTTCATTTCCTCCATTTACTCAATTCTCTACGAGTCTCCACCATAACATTTTTTACACCCAAGCAGACGTTCGGTGTACCGGGCGAGAATTTAAGACAAGAAAGCTTTATTTACGATAGACGTATAAATCTCCTTATCACTCCGAAACGTTTACATGCTAGTTCTAATGCCGTCGTCATACGCTTAGAATCCTAAACACATAAGGTTTCCAGATCCGGTCGGCAACAGACCATAGATCCGAACAAATAACATCATATATGGCAAACATATAACATTTAGCACATAAAAGCATTTTTAGGCATCATTCCTAAAATATACTAGTGCTTGTGTCAATTTAGGTGTACTACTAACATATTTTGGACACACTCCTCACAATCATTACTTAGCATTCTAAGTTTAAGTCTAGAAATTTCCTACAAATTCCTAGTTCGCTTAAACTAATGCTCTGATACCAACTGTGACATCCCCAAAATCACGGCTAGAAAAGACCGATTTGTTTATGCTTTGTTTTATAAATCAGAGTAATCGTTTACAGAAAACAGTTGCGGAATTTGTTCCCAAAACAAAATGTGATAAGAATTTATCAAAGCATTTCTTTAAAGAAATGTATTTTCATTAAATAACAAAATCTCGGGATGTCATGTTCCGATACAGACCGAAAGCATAAACAGTATAAAATAGACCTTACAACAGTTATTTATAACTACTGATCTATAATCCAAAATCTCTCGTCAAGTCCACCAACTTATACTCTTGTGCCATTACCTGTAATGCAAAGAAAACTGAGTGGGTCAGGCTTGGGGGCCTGGTGAGCATATAGGGTTTTCAACCCACAATAATATAATTATTATATTTAATCATCAAACAATCAACCCAATTACCCATCCCCATTATCTTCTTTAATTCTTAAGGTTTTACCCTAAGAATCAACTATCCTTCATTCATTCATTCCTAAGGATTGACCTAAGGAATTGGCACAAAGTCCATTGCTACCACGGTTTACACAACAGGCACTACGTCTCATAGTCACCAGGGTTTATACAATAGGCACTACGTCGCATAGTCACCAGGGTTTACACAATAGGCACTACGTCGCATAGTCACCAGGGTTTATACAATAGGCACTACGTCGCATAGTCATAAGGGTTTATACAATAGGCACTACGTCGCATAGTCACCAGGGTTTACATAATAGGCACTACGTCGCATAGTCACCAGGGTTTACACAATAGGCGCTAACTCCATAGTCACCAAGGTTTATACAATAGGCGCTAACTCCATAGTCACCAACTATCCCATCTACCCATGTTCTACCCAACATTTTCGTAGATATAAATACTTACATAGTTTTAAATCATTTAACACCTGTATAAAACATCAATTCCATGCCCATTTCAAATAGACAAATAATATATACACACATAGCACGTATTTCATAGCAAATACTTCATATTTATGTGTTAGAAGAAAGTAACTACACACTCACACCAAACGTATACTTAATACATTCAAACAATACTTGTATTAAAATCGTGTTTATGAAAGGGACTATACACTTACTTGATAAGAAAATGATCGGACAACACCTCGTCTCTTAAAATAAATTTTTCCGATAAAACCGTGATGTTTTCCTTGAAAACCGGGCCTTTCGCGGGCATAGTTTCGGCTCGGAAACTTCGCTTATCGGGATCTTCGGGGCTTCGGGACTTGCTTCGGGGCTCGGGAATGATACCGGGGCTTCGGGATATCTCTTGCACGAAAATCGATGCAAAATGGGAGAGAGAGATGAGAAAATGAGCAAAGGAATCGACTGCCCTCGCATTCTATTTATAGGGTGAATTTTCTGAGTTCACCTCGTGAGTTTCTAATATTCACCTCGTGAACTGGCTCACCTCGTGAGTTTCTAATATTCACCTCGTGAGATCGATACGTCATTGCGTTCGTCATGGCCACTTGCCCTGGAAGACGTCCATCATCTGTTCACCTCGTGAGTCACAAATGCTCACCTCGTGAATTGACACAGCCTTGGGGTTCACGCCCCGAACTTCAGAAAATCATAACTTTCGCATACGAGCTCCGTTTTCGACGTTCTTTATATCCACGCGTAGGTTAGATTATGCTCTACAACTCTCGTTTAGACTCCGTTGGCTAATTTTGATTTTATTTTTAATATATTATAAATATATTATTTTTAGTAGGCCGGGACAGGAAAACTCCGTTATAAATTCATAACTTCTTCATCCGACGTCCGTTTTCGTCTGTCTTTTTACCGTTGCACTACCATTGACGAGATCTTCGATTCTCGTTTAGATTGTTTCGGCTAAAAAGCGCTCGATCTCAAATCGAGTATTCGGGCTGCACACTGCTAAGTCGAAACTTCGGAAAATCATAACTTCCTCATACGAAGTCAGATTTGGGCGTTCTTTTCATGCACGCTCTCGGTTTAACGTATTCTACGACTTTCGTTTAGATCGCTAAATCCAAATATCGCTCTATCGTAAATTCATATTTTACGTCACTCAGCGTCGTGCCGGTTCTGTCGCGAAACTTCGACAGGTCATAACTTCTTCGTTATAACTCGGATTTCAACGTTCTTTATATGTACAGAATCCTTGTAACATATACTACAACTTAGTTAAGATTATTCATTCTAAATAATTTTCTATCAAAAAGTCATTTTTGACGCTTAACGTCTCTAAATTGACTAGCCCGGATCTACGGGCGTTACAACGGGTATGACACTATCTGCCCCGTTTAATACCCGATTATATATATACATATATATATATATATATATATATATATATATATATATATATATATATATAAACTATTAGGATATTTTATTTTTATTAGTGTTGCATTTAAAACTTAAGAAGATGATCAATATAGTATCAACCTAACATTTTTTTAAACGCTCGACACTTCGGCTTATATTTATTTCATAGCCTGTATATGATAGTTTACCCAATTCCTACTTAATAGCCTTTTAGATAATTTTGATATTTCGATTTATGTATGTTCAGGAAGAAGATTTATTATGGAAGTCTCAAATGTTAAAATATAATATCCAATAGAATAGAAAGACTGGAGTCGGCTATTTTTAACGTATACAACAGTGAGCAGCTTGGGTGCCTGTGTCACCAATGTGCCTGCTTGCTTGCTTACCATCATCTTCCAATTAGAGGGTTGCTGCCGCCCATAGTTTCCATCATACTCTTCCGATCATTTACAAAAGACTTACGGGGGTTTTTTCTCCTAGACTTGCCACCTCCTGGTTTATAGCCTTGCCACTTTGCCAGAGATGCTTTAACGTATGCTATGTTCTTCCGTTATGCCCAACATCATCCTACATTCCTATCGTTAGGTGCTTGGCTGCCTGCATCACTTGCCTGTTTGTCATCCTTGCATTGACACAACAGACTTCAAATGCGGGTTTGCTTAATTGCTTCTCTGCCAGCGTTTCCCCCAAAGCTGTTTGCCGCCTTAATTTACCATCTTAAGGTGAGTCACTCTCTCTTTTCTTTGGCGCCACCTCCTGCTTCGTTTTGGCGCCTCCATATGTTCCCTCGGTACAGCTGACGTTGTGGATGGACGTCCCTGATTCAGCCACCGCTGACGTTTCCGGTCCAGGTAATAGGTTCTTTCTTTTTAGTTCTTATTTGTAGCAGAAATGATCAATTGAAAGTAACTCAATACATTTGTTTTTGTTTTTGGTTTCATGGGTTTTAAATTTTTAAGGTTCTAGCTCTAATTTTTTACTCTTGAAATTGATTTTGGATTTTTTTTTCTTTGTATACGTTTCAAATTAATGGTGAATGATCAATAAAAGATCTCTCCTGATTTGTTTTTGCTCTTATTTGTCGCTCCTTGTCTGATACAGATCACGTCTTCCCGTCTTCCCTGTTCTTTCTCTCCTACAAATCGCAGGTATGCTTCTGGTTTCTCTACTGTTACTTACTTCTGGTCTCAGTCTCACTCTCACTCTACTTTATAAAAATAAACGACAATGATGTAAAGAGGGTTTAATCGAAGGGTAATGATGTAAAAAAAAAAAAGAGGATAACAATCTCGTGTTCTTCATTTCTTGTGGGCTTGGTTGGTTTTGAAATAATATCAGATGATATGGCTAATGCTTCTTGTACATAGTAAGTGTTTGACTGTGATTTTGTTTGAATTTGCACGATTTTAAAGTTTTCCATTTTATGATCTACCAACCTTTTATTTTATGGGTTTATGGTGTTCTATTTAACTGTTATAAAAGTCTTTATTTTGAAAATGTTGAATCATCCCAATATAATGAATCTGATGGATGTTATTCAATAAAAGTTCTTTATGATTGATTGGGTTAACTCGGACAGCTGACCAAACCATGTATCAACACAAAAGGTGGTGTTCGTTCAGGGGAGATGATGGGAGTATGAAATCTACAATCATATTTGAGAATCTTAATTTTAAAATTCAACCACATGATACATGTGAGTATATTATATTTTTTTTTTAGATCAGTTGATCAGAGGGACAAGTTTTATAGTGTACAAGTGTGTGTAAAATTATTAAATGGGGATGATGCTACTTCTATGAACAGAGAAATAAGCAAATCTCACTTCTTTGTGATTTTTCACTACGCCTTCTCCCCTCTTTGCTGGAGAAATGATACCAGTTATTAGGAGGCGATTTCTTTTTTCCCAGATGAAATTAAATAATTTCATCTGTTTCATATATAACTGAACCTTAACTACTTGTGTTTATTTTGCTTAATATCTTTGATTGTATCAATTTCTTACTGTCTGTAGTTTGTCTTGGATTTTCATTTTCCAACCAACTGTTTGATAAGTTGCTTGACTGAATATCATAGAGGTAATTTCTGATTTTTTATAGTTGATGTCAGTTAACTAAGAGTCTTTTACTTGATCTGATTTGTGTCTTTTAGGTGCTACTGGAATTGCAAGAGTTAGGGATGGTTTTTGTTTTGTAAATTCTGTGGATTATTTCAGGATTTGGGATCGTAAGTGCTTTATATGCCTTAAATCATTTTATTCCCATCAAATTGTTGACCAATAAACTTGGATTTTAATACAAGTGTTTATGACTTGATGTACAAGACTAACAAGTAAATATACGTTTTCAGTTCATCGGATTTTGGCAATATTTTTGGGGTTTTAAACTTAATTGGCTAATATTTCCATATGAAAAGTCCATTTTGTTCCAAGTTCTTTTATTATTATCAAAAAATTGTTGTTAGATATACAAAAACTATGTCCATTAAAATTTAATATTGGATTACTGGTATATAAATAACAAATGTGCTGTTTTATGTAGTCATCTTATTTTGGCAGTTTTCAAATGATGCTTTGTTTTTTTTAGAAGTTTGATTTTGTATGACCATATAGAAACATAGTTTTCTTCTCTGTCATGCTTCAACAATAGAAATTGTTGACATGAAACTTCTTGCTCAACATAGTATACTTATTAAATGACCTACAAACTAAATAAACATAAATTGACTGCATCATATTCAGAAGAGTTATGTGAGTGTGCTTTTTGAACAAATATTTACATTAATGCCCTTTAACTAAAAATATTCTTGTTCTTCAACAATAGAAATTGTTGACATGAAACTTCTTGCTCAACATAGTATACTTATTAAATGACCTACAAACTAAATAAACATAAATTGACTGCATCATATTCAGAAGAGTTATGTGAGTGTGCTTTTTGAACAAATATTTACATTAATGCCCTTTAACTAAAAATATTCTTGCTTTTTCCTTTCAAATGTAGTTAGTTTATCTATATTTCAATAAATATATATACCTGAAGTATAATATTTTCTTTTCAAATTACCTGAATATGGATATTACTTTAAATATAATGTTTCTTTTGAATAAATGTTAAAAATGTATTTTATCTAAAAAAATCATGTAAAAATAGCTTACTGATTAATTGACTAGGGGCGTGATTATCACGACCCCATTAAGTTTCCTAGTATATATATATATATATATATATATATATATATATATTATATATATATATATATATATATATATATATATATATATATATATCATACATTAGTGATAATGTCATGCTTATTGTATTCAAGTTATGCTTCTAAATGGAAGAATGCAAAAAACACATTATGTTTGTTTCATAAGACTCGTATTTTTTATTCAACAATTGTTTGAATTAAAAGATATATATATATATATATATATATATATATATATATATATATATATAATATTGAAAAACAAACAGTGAGAATAGACGGAAAAAAAAAAAAAAAAAAAAAAAAAAAAAAAAAAAAAACAAACGCATTGGGCTTGGCTCTTCTAACCTGATAAACAAAAAAAACGCCCTAAACAAAAAAAAAAAGAAACACGGAAGATCGCTCCAGCCGTTCTCCTTCTTCGTTCTCAGCTCTATATATTATATAATATTGAAAAACAAACAGTGAGAATAGACGGAAAAAAAAAAAAAAAAAAAAAAAAAAAAAAAAAAAAACAAACGCATTGGGCTTGGCTCTTCTAACCTGATAAACAAAAAAAACGCCCTAAACAAAAAAAAAAAGAAACACGGAAGATCGCTCCAGCCGTTCTCCTTCTTCGTTCTCAGCTCTCTCTCGTCGATCGCCGACTCCAGCCGCTCGTCGGTCGCCGCTGCCCCTCGCCGGTCGCCGCTGCTACTGTCCGGTGCTCGTTCTTTGCTGCCATCGTCTTCAACATCGACAGGTTAGGTTTTTTTTTTTTTTTTTTTTTTCTGATTTCTTATTTTAGTACCGATTTTATGCTGTGTAGTACCAAATTTCTGCTTTGAGTACCAATATTGTTGCTGAGATGTGAAGAATCTTTGCTAAAATCTTTGTTGAATGTTGATTTATGATATAATTGTTCTTATAACAAATTTTCTGCTAAAATTTATGTTTTGGTTTATGAATTTTTGTGCTGAATTGGTATGAATGTTTGGTAAAATCATAAATCTTTGCTGAAATCATATATTTATATGCTGAAATCATAAACTTATATGCAAGTTTATATGCTGAAATCATAAATCTTTGCTGAATATGTTAAAGTCTTTGCTGAAATGAGTTTTCTTAAACTTATTTGCTGAATTGTTATCACTTGTAGTGCTTGAATGGAGATCATGTTTATGCTTATATGCAAGTTTGTGCTTAAATCGTTGAATATGCTAAACTTATTTGTTGATGGTGTTGTATAATCTTTGCTTATATGGTTTTTTTTGTTCATTCATGATGTGTTGTTGTTGATGATGCATATGTATGTGATTATTCTGTGTTGTGTAACCAATATGTATGTGTTTATGACTAATGACTTTATGTGCTTCTTAGTTTGTTTAAAGTGTAAACTTGTACATTCTGAGTTTATTTGTTTCCTGGATGGATTTATTGTAGTTTATGTGCTTCTTGATCATGCATTATTCTAGAAATGTTGAAAACTTGGAAGATGATTTGGATTTAGAAGAGAGAGAGATTAGATAGCATTTGACAATTTGGTATGACCAATGTTTTAAACTTATAAGTGTCATTTTTGTATGCACCTTACCTATTTAGGAGTAGGTAGTTAGGTGATGGAAATTTATTTTTTCATGTTTTAAAAATATAACTGTCATTTTCATTTTTGTTAGGATCTTGCAAAGGCAAAAACGATCTTGACTCAGCAATGGATTCTTCTGCGAAATCTTTCAATCCAAACAAGCATTTGAAAGAAGAGTAAAATCCTCTCTCTTCTTCTTCTTCTTCTTCTTCTTCTTAGTATATATATAAAAAAAAAAACAGAAGTATCATTTTTTAGGTTTACGAAACTGTAAGAAATGACATGTGTGTAATTAATGTTTATCAGATTTGTGAGCAACCTAACTGGATCTTCCATGGCTGAAGTTTTTGTACTTTCAGCAATATTTTCTGTACGTATGTTTTCTTATTCTTCCTCAATCAAATTAAATAAAATGGTAATTGAGCTTCTAACATTTTGCTTGATTCAGATGCTTATTCTCCTGCGACATACCATCGGCATCTACAACAAAATAGGTTAACATTATTTCAGGAAATATGTTAATGTTATTCAGTTGTTGAACAAATAGCATTTACTAAATTCTTGTTTGCGTTTTCCTGTTTCTTTTTCTTTTAGTAAAATGGATTGATTAATTTGGTTTGCATCTCCAGATGAAGAAACTTCATCAAAGAAAAAAACAAAAACAGTTGGGTCATGGGGGGCTTACATCATCAGAATGATAGTAGATTTCCTCTCCATTGTTCTTCCTATCACTCTCGTTTCTACAGTAAGTAAGCCTGTTCTAGATCTTCTCTTGTGTAATTGTGTTAGAATAGAAAGACTTGTATAATAAATAAAATTCTTGACAGGTTCTATCAGAATGGAATTACATCATTGGGGTTGTATTTGTATTTGTATTGGTGTTGTTTTTGTATTTTGCATATAAGAGGTAATAATATGTCTTCTTAAATCTTTCTTCTGTTATGTTATTTTTCCAATAAATCATTATCCGACACAAATCTTCCATTCCATATGATGCAACAGAGATGGATGTTGGTATCAGGAAGAAGGGGTTCATATTCATTCTCTTAGGGAATGTGTATCATCATACAGGGTTTCATTGGTAACATCAAAAATCATTATATATATATATATATATATATATATATATATATATATTTCATTTTTCTGTTGCTCTAAAATAAAATTTTGATTGTGTTTTGTGCAGATGCTTATCACATGTGTTTGTATTTTGGCTGTTGACTTCAACATATTCCCTAGAAGATATGCTAAAACCGAGACTTATGGGACTAGTTTGGTAAGGTAATTATTATATATTTATAACAATATATTTTTATCTTTTTATTGATAAATAAAAAAAATCTATATATTTATATTTTTAGATGGATGTTGGGGTAGGTGCATTTGTTTTTGCAAATTCATTGGTTTCACGTCAAGCTCGGGGAGTTTCTACAATGTGAGTGAGTCAGAGTCATCAATTAAATTATGTTTCTGAAACAAATACTTATTTATTTATTTATTTTTGGTATTTTAGGGGTTTAAACTTAAAAAGTGCACTCTCCTCTACTAGCCCACTACTAGTGCTAGGTTTTGCTAGACTTGTTTTTACATCTGGTGTTGACTATCAGGTACATAATAAAGTCTGTTTCTGTTTCTAGACTGAATAATAAATAAATGACTATTCTACCCCCTTATAGGTTCATGTGGGAGAATATGGTGTTCACTGGAACTTCTTCTTCACACTTGCTGGTGTCGCGGTGCTGACATCACTTGTCAATGTCTCTCCAAACTATTGTGGGCTTTTAGGTTCATTGGTACTAATAGGTATAATTTTATTTTCTTAATTAATAATTATCTTCTTTTTATAAATTATAATTATATTTTCCATTTGCTTTTAGGCTACCAAATTTGCCTAATGACTGGATTGAACGTGTATCTGCTATCTGCTGAAAGAGGAACAGACATCATCAGTCAAAACAAACAAGGAATCTACAGCATATTCGGTGAGGTATTTTTGGAACAGGGGTAAAATTGTCTTTTTGGTAATCATTTAGCTGTTTTGTTTCCTGTTCAGGATATTGGGGGCTACATCTTATTGGTGTTTGGTTAGGCAACAATCTTTTGTTTGGGAAGAATAATGATTGGGCAAGAAAGAGAGTTTGGATTCTATTTCTTTTCTTCTGGTATATATAATATAAATTTTTTAGAGTAAATTACAATTTTGGTCCTTGAGTTTGTTCAAAAGTTTCAGTTTTGGTCCCAAATAGTTTTCTTTTGCATTTTTGGTGCCTAATTTCAACTGTTGTAACGATTTTGGTACGAAAATATCAAATTGGGACAAAAACTGCAATTTTTGAACCCAACCAAAATGTAATTTTTTTTTAATAACAAAATACGTTTATTCTCATCTTCCCAGGTGTTTGACCTTGATTCTGGATAGTTATGTTGAAAGACCTTCGCGTAGAATGGTTTCACTTTTCCATGATTTATTATTTATTATCTGTACTATTTTTTACAAAAAAAATGTAATTGATTTTTTATTACTTTTCAGTGCAACCTGACATATGTCACCTTCGTATTGGCTACAAACCTACAGGTGATTTTTCTTTATATATATATATATATATATATATATATATATATATATATATATATATATATTAATTTGGCTTTTTTGTATCATTTAAAAAATTTAAAAAGTTATTTTTTTTTTCAGACCTTGGGAATAATAATGCTCTCTGGTGGTAAAAAGGTGTCACTGCTGGAACAAGCAATCAACCGAAACTTGCTAGCGGTTTTCATTGTGGTAAATATTTTGAGCTTCAAAGTTTTTTATAATTAAAAAAAAAAAAAAGTAACAATTTGACATGAAATTTATGCAGGCAAATTTATTAACAGGATTAGTGAATTTATCGATGAATACCCTGTTTGTGTCTCCACTCACAGCACTATTTATATTAGTTGCATATGGTTTTATTATTTGTTGTGTTGCTGGATTTGCAGATTATAATGGTATTAAGTTAAAGTTTTGGTAAAATAGTTGTAATAAACCAATTTTCTTTTTGTTGTGTTAACTATACCTTGAAGATTTGAAGCCAAATGCCATCTTGAAACCCCTTTCATTTGGGCTAAAGTATTTTAAAATAGTTTTTAAAACCATTTAAGACCTCCCAAAACATCAAAATCTTTCAACAAGCAAAGTGAATATACAATCAATAGCATACTCTACTATTTCAACAATTGACCTCACATATAGGCCTTAGGACAGGTATTCAGATGGTGCAGTTTATCAAATTTGTTTTTTAAATTACACTTTATTTTTTAACCAACAAAGGTTATAAGTATCAAAGATTGATTGCTTAAAATCTCAATGAACATTTACAATATACTTTCCTAAAGAAATTATTCGACCCTTGAGGGATAGTTACATACCAATTCACTAACGAATAAAAACATCACATGTAACAAATCAAGGCTAATCAACGGTACATTTAGATGTTACTTACAAGATGTGGCATTTGAAAATTTTCAACTTGTTTATGATCAAAACATCTGTGTAATCAACTAATCATTCATTCATATAATCTCTCAACTACCGAAAAACTTATCCTTGGTTTTCAACAAACTATGATTCAGCCAGCAGGTTGTTCGTTAGAAGCATTATCTTCTTCGGTTTCACTTTTATCAGCATCTTTTTTACTAAACGCTAAAGTAATCGCCCTATCCATCAACTCCTGCATTACATATTTACAAGTTCATGAATCATGCCATTAAACATAAAGTCTCTTTTTCCAAAATAAAAAATGAAAACTTAAATCTAAAAACAGAAGGAGTTGGTGAAGAAGCTTTGTTGGAGCTTTAGCTTGTGGATCCAGAGACTAGGCACATTCCTCAGTTGCAAGAAGGTATAAAGCCTCAACCTTGATCATTGTATGCTTAGATCTCTTCATGTTATGGTTTTATGCTTTTTGGTCCCTTTTGGGTTGGTTTGGTGAGCTAAAGTCGTTTTTGGAGCTTATCCTTGTATATATGGGCATATTAAGAGTTTCTTAAGCATAAATGTGCAAACTTTATGGTGGTTTTGGTCTCATGCATGTGTTAAGTCATTTATTAAGCTCTTTTGAGCTCTAGAGCCTCATTAATCCATGCATGCACGTAAAGTTGGCAACTTTACGTGATAAACCACCTTAAGGAAGTCAGATCTAAGTGTTGGAGTGAAGTCTTAACCGTTTAAGAGTTGAATGAGGAAGTTGGCCAATCAGGGGGAGTACGATGGGCATACAAGCTGGTACGTGCCGCATACATGCTCTAAAGCGAGTACGCTTAGCATACAAGTTGAGTACGCCCCGCGTACTCAGCACTGGGCTCCGGAAGTTGGGTTTTTGGGTGTTGGGCCTATTCTTGGACCTTAGGAGTCTAGGGCTTCATTTTGGGTCATCAAAATATTGTTTTAGGCTAAGAATATTTTTGGACCTTGGATTAAGGCCCATGAAGGGGTTTGGGCCCAATTTGGAAAATTGGGCCATAGTTGGGCATTGGGTGATTATTTTGGAATTTGGGCCTTTGGACAATTTGGATTGGGCTTGGGCCTTGGGCCAAGTATAGGGAAGGGTAAAAAGGTCTTTTACCCTAGTTTGGACTCGTAGGGTGAGTCAAGATCCAATTATTAATTGGATGATGTTTTATGTGATTATAGCGGGGATTCTTAGCGGGCCAGCAGCCAGAAATTTATCCATGAGATTCAGCAGTGCGAGGCGAGTTTCCTCACTGTGTTTAGCGAGTCGAAGGCACCAATGTCGGCCCATGGTTTTGTTATGTTAGGATGCTAGATGTTTGCGTGACTCTTGCATTTGTTATGTGCGTGTATGCTTACCGGGCGGGGCCCGATGATTATTCTGTATGCTATGTATCTTTGTGATTATTGCATGTGTTATGTGTTTATATGTTTATATGTATACCAGGCGGGGCCCGATGATTAACAAATCTGTATACCGAGAGGGGCTCGATGACGGGCGGGGCCTATTATGTGTTTATTTATGTATTTATGGTATGTAGTATTTTGGGGAACTCACTAAGCTTTGTGCGTACGGTTTTTAGTTTATATTTCAGGTACTTCCAGTTCCAAAGGGAAGAGCTCGAGATGATTGTAGAGCACACACCATTCGATTCCACATTTTGTGATTTACTCTGACGATTGTTGATGTATTGATACGGTTTGTTTACCTTGGTTTTATGACAATGATATGGTTTACTATTTTATTAATCTAAAAATGAAAAAATTCCGTGTCTTATTTTTGGGACGTTTCATCTCTCACCACGTTCTTTATGAACTGTTCATCACCCCACAACTGTCACCTTATCTCTCCAAACTCTGCATATAAATAGTGAGGTATTGAGGGAGAACGACTGGCCGGTTGTACCTTCATTATCCCCATTCAAATCATGATGGAGCATCAATGGAGCAAGCAGATCAATCTCCAAGAAGAGCACCACCACTTGATTTGTTTGGATTTCTTAAATCTTCTTCACAAGATTCATCGATCTTTCTCTTATCCTTTTTCTGCTTTATTTATTGTTAACATAAATGCTTCTATCCAGTGTTCATCTTGGTCTAGATGATAGTCTTTTTGGATTATTTGCTTCCGTTTCTTCATCTATTTCTCTTTTCTCCTGCATATGCGGTAGAAGGTGTAAGGAACGATTCAAAACCACAGAATGCGACTGCAAAAAATGAGAAGCCCCAATTTTCAAATCGTTGAGATCTATCTGTCAGAATCCGAGCTCATTGCTTTCTAGGTTACAATGACTTTTACCATGGTGGATCAATGAAGTTAGTTATTATTGGGGGAGGTAATTTCCCTGTTACAAATACAGAAAAGAACCATTTTGAATAAATCTTCTTATTATATTGAACTATATAAAATTGTCATGTAAGTTAACTAAATTATGTTATGGTAAGACTCATGAAGTCATTTTTGGTGGTGCAGAAACTCTTGATGTGCTTGAAAGTTGGGTTCTTGAGCTATTTAGCACAGTCAAAAGCAACAATGCTTTAAAGTCAGAAGTCAAACAAGACTCCTCATTTGGAGTCCAGGAAAAATTTGTCGTTTAGAAGTTGTTAAAGATGTTCATATTCTTGATCTATCATGGACATTGCCATGTCTTCGAAAAGACTACACAAAGAAAGAAAAAGACTATTTGGAACATCTCGTAGGGCATGGTAAACCACTATACTTCCTTAAGATAATAAATTTGCTTTCAATTTAAAAAATGTGAATCTACTAAGAGCACACTTATGTTTACAGAGGGCAGAGGAAGCTTACTTTTCTTTTTAAAAGCAAAAGGGTGGGCAACTTCTATATTTGCTGGTGTTGGTGATGATGGAATGCATATATCTTCAATAACATATGTTTTCGGCATGTCTATTTACCTCACTGACTCTGGTCTTGAAAAGGTAATAATTAAAATCACAATCTTCTAATTAATTGTTATTGTACACTGATATGAGGGATTAAACTTCATACATTTTACTTAGGTTTTTATGATTACTTTTGTTTTATTGTTTTATTTTTCAGAGTGTTCACAACAATGGAACATGAAGATCATCATACAGTGGTCTAAAACACAGAGGTGGTAAGTTTAAGGTTTGAATTTGTTTATTTGTGTGTATTTGCATGTAAGTGTGTATTTTTGTTTATTTGTGTGTATCAATATCTATAGGTGAGTACCTAATATTTTCTATCTTTTAAACTCTTGATTTTAGTCCTATATCTTTAATTTTGACTTTCTTTTTTTCTTTTTGCAGTTTCAACATTTGGAATCAGATGTCCTGCTTTGAGACCACCACTCCGCACCGACCCCTTTATATGTAAAATTATGACATCTATTTCTTGCATATATGTAGTTTTGTACATCAAATTTTATTTCATTTAAAATTTTGAATTGGCATACATGTTTTTAGATTTTATCTCTAAAATTCTTAATTCCCTAAACCCAATTGAATTTATCAGTTGAGGGGTTGTTTGGATTTGCTTTTAAAGTTAAATACGTGATTAGAAAAATCCAATTTTTATGTGAATTAAATTAATTGATTGAAGCTTTTTCAGTAGCTAAAATTCCAGTTCTAATAAGTTGAAGTGCATACAAGTTTTTGAACTTATGTATGATAAAAACATGTGACATTAAAATCAAATATAAGTATAATAATTGCTTCTATTTGTACTTGGTCCCATAAGTTTATAATTATATATATATATATATATATATATATTTAAACGACATTTATTAGAAAAAAACAAACAAAAAGCTAGCAAGGAGCTAGCAAAAACCAATTACAAGTTCATAGGAAATTGAAGCCAAACATTCCAATCCCTAGACATTTTACGATTCCTAACACAATACCAATTAAAGGAATACAATTTAATGGTATCAACAAGAGTATCTTTTCGATACTTTTTAGTGCGAAAGACCATCGCATTTCTATAACCCCATAAGACCCATAACATAGTCATAACAATTGCAAGAGTCTTTTCTTTCTGCATCCCTTGCATCGATAAAGCATCCAACCAATCATAAACCTCTTGTAGCGAACTAAACGAAGGCATATGTAAATCCGTCCACCCCGCAATTCAACTCCATAGTTGTTTCGCTAACTCACATTTAAAAAACACATGATTTGAATACTCTAAGTCCTTATCGCAGATAGGACATGTAGTAGAGGGAATATCAACCCCTCTAATCTCCAAATTAACCTGAGTAGGTAACCTATCCAAAGCAATCCTCCAAACCAAAACATTCACTTTAATTGGCACAAACCTATTCCATCTATACAACACATGACCCATGGGAAGCAAAACATCATCTAAATGATTACGAAGAGATCTAACAGTAAACTAATCCAGGTTACCTAACTCCCATCTCTAAGCATCCCTGTTATTCGAACATTTTACTTGCTGTAACTCCTCCAACAACATTTGTAGTTGTTCCGCCTCAATTCCTCCCCTAACGTCCCTGCGCCATTGCAAGACCCAGTCTTCTCCACTCCAGTAGTCTCTCACCACCCCTTCTTTAGCCAACGAGAGCGCATAAAGTCTATCATATTTGATTTTAAGACTTAAATCATCCCTCCATTTATCCCACCAGAACCGAATATCCATACCATTACCAAGTTGTCTTCTCATCCAAGAATCACTAACATTACCAATACTATGAATTTTGAAAATAGCATCAGTAATGTTCCTCCAAACTCCCATGCCACGCACCCGACTATCAACTCCAAAAGTCTGAAATTGACTACCATGACACGCTTTTATAACGCTAACCCATAAAGTGACAGGATTAGTGCAAAATCTCCATCTCCATTTATACAAAAGGGCATTGTTAAGGGCTGCTAAAGAACCCACTCCCAAACCACCATTATCCTTTGAATTCAGAATTAAGTCCCATTTCACCCAACTTATCTTCTTCTCATTGGAATCCGCCCCCAGAAAAATTTTTCTCTGATTTGTTCCAACATTTTGACAATCTGAAATGGAATTTTAAACAAAGACATGTAATATATACCCAAACTACCTAACACAGACTTTAATAACGTTAACCGCCCACCAATTGAAAGTAATCGAAGCTTCCATCTAGACAACCTTTTCATGATTCGATCCACAATTACCCTCCAACCAGCAACTCGATTCATATTCTCACCAATAGGTAACCCTAAGTAAACAAAAGGTAAGGAAGTCGAACTACAACCTATCAAATTCGATAAAGCCTCACAAGTTTGGCTCTCAACACCTATCCCCACCAAATTCGACTTAGAAAGATTTAATTGTAAACCTGGCATCATATAAAAGCAATTTATAATGCGAAACAAATTAGTAATATTTTCAGCATCCTACTCTCCCATAAATAAAACATCATCAACATAAAATAAATATGACACTTGCATCCCAAGATTACCCAATTTAGCAGCTCTAAACATCCCATTCGCCACCACATCTTCCAAAATGACATGCAACCCCTCCATAGCAATGATGAAAAGAAACGGGGATAGAGGATCACCTTGTCTAAGCCCTCTTTCCAAATTGAACTCTTGTGTGGCCGAACTGTTAATTAAAACAGAAGATCTCGCCGACACCAAACAAGCCCGTATCCAACTACGCCATTTATCTGGAAAAACCAAAAAATACATCACTCGATCAAGGTACTCCCAACTAAGAGAATCAAACGCCTTTTCGAAATCCACTTTAAAAATCATTAACTTCTGCTTTTTCCTCTTATACCAATTGACATATTCACTTACCATTAAAGGGCCATCAAGGATTTGCCTTCCTTTAATAAAAGCGGATTGTTCCGGACTAACAATACCATCCACTACCTTTGCTAGCCTATTAGCTAGTAATTTGGCAATAATTTTATACTGAACTCCAATAAGACTAATTGGACGATAATCCTTTACTAAAAGTGAATTATCGACCTTTGGAATTAGAGTTATAAAAGCTGAATTGCATCCTATAGGAAAGAACCCATTATCAAAAAACTCCTGAACAAATCCAAACACATCGAATTTAAGAATTTCCTAATACTTTTTAATAAACCTGAAAGAAAATCCATCGGGTCCTGGAGCACAGGACCAAACCGCCTCCCGAATCCCCATCTCTGTGACTTGACTTGACTTTGAATGAAATCAGCCTCAACATTACTCAACGTATTATATCTATGACTTCTCTCTATAATCGGAATAACACCAAAAAACTTAAACTTGGTAGCATAGAAATCGAAGAAAATATTTTTAACACTTGATGGTTCATCGATCCATTCCCCGTTTGACAACATCCCTCGAATTTGCATATGTTTACGCCTTCTTTTTTAACATCCCATGGAAAATTTTTGATTTTTCATCTCCTTCAATTCCCCATTTAATCTTCGCCTTTTGAACATAGTCAAGACCTTCCACAGCCTTTATGTCAGACATCTTTTTTTAGTACCTCCCGTCTTTCACCGACCAACATGCTTTGCTTTTGCATTTAAATGAAAAACATAGAACTCATAAGCATTGCCAACTCAACTGGAAGGTGCACATAAATAAGAATGTCTCAATCAAACACGACCGGTTATCAACCTCAGGTTGCGTTCTAGTGATAACTAAAAGGTTTATTGTCGATTGAATCTTGAAACTCTTAAGATCAATACGACTCCTACTGACTTCTTGGCATATGAGTTTTTCTCTCAAGGAACATTCCTTGACGAGCTAAAAAAATATTCAAAAGTTCATGTGGATTCCCGACAAGAAAACACTTCATAGAATAGGTCTCAGTTTATCTTTTGTTTCTCGATTAACGAAAAACATCACAACTCTAATTTTGTATGTGCTAGAGTAAGAAAACATCTTTACTCTACATATTTCAAGGTGTTTTCAACCTTCTTAGTTTTGAAATAAGTTTCAAGATATGACTCACAGTTACTAGAGCATGGCTCTAAAACTTGATTTGGAATGAAGTATGACTCATCACTTGATCGAACTATTTCCACCAATATTTGATTCCTATTCTTAGTCATACAATTGCAGTAAGATATTCTTTGAGGATCAATTGTGATATAAATCCGCAATCACTAAGATGATCATAAAACATGATACTAAAGTATTCTCCTTTCCTTTCATATTGAAGAAACTTTTATCTTTCAGCCTAATAAATTCTTTTATTCATTCTGCTACTCTTTGAATCTTTTCAAAATATCAAAGTTATGCTTAATCTTATAAACACAACCATATTTACTGAAGCATTAGTAAATTATGATGAATGAAGTTATCATCCTTTGTGGTGGATCTGAATAGTACATATCAACATGTACTAGATCCATTAGTCATTCACTTGACTCACATAAACATGTAATCGATGAATTAGTCATACTTTTCCAATGAATAAGATTCTCATATACTATACAATGCAACTTGTACAACACCGGGCATCTGTCCAATTGGTGATGGGATTTCTTTTCAGTTGGTCAATTATGACAATACCACAAGCGATATTATAAGAATCAAATCCAAAATTAATATTGTTAATATTGGAAATGTAACCAACACTTTCATAAATTTCCTAAGAGTAATAACAATCTATTAAATTATCCCAACTCCTTAGTAGTAGCTCTAAAATATGATCTTTGAAACCTGTTGACTAAAGTCCATTTCTCATGATCAGATTTATCTCACCTTGCTCAATCTTCCTTCGTTCTCTTCGATCCTATCAAAATGTGATCATCACATCATGTATTAAGAGTCTAGGAACTTATAAAACAATGGAGTCAGATAATGGATGTACCTGAAGTAGAGTCACACGACTTGACTTTTACTATCTCCAAGATCTTTCAGGTATTTTGGGCAGCTTTGTTTCCAATGTCCCTTCAATTGGTAGTAGAAACAAATGGACTCTTTGAGGTCAACACATGGAAGGATCCCAGAACTATCCTTTCTCTTTACCATACAATCAAACAGTTTGATCTTGGATGACTCCTTTCCATTAGGTAGAGAAATCTTTTCTGGAAAACCATTGTCACAATTTTCAATATCCATGGAAACCTTGGAAATAGACCCAATAAGCATTTCTACTTTAGATGTGATCTTAAGAATTTTGCTTCAGCAACAATCAACAGTTGAGTCAAATCATTTAGGGTCACATCAAGATTCCTCACATGTAAGTTTTTAAAAAACTAACCATATGACTTAGGAAGCAAGAGGAAAAACAAATCAATGGCTTTCTTCCTTGGGAAAACGACACCTAATTTATCCAACTCGTCAATGTACGATTTCTTTTCAAAACATGTGTACATACAAAGTTTCCATCTTGATGTTTACATGCCAATAGGGATTGACTAGTCT